TTTGCTTTAAGTTAAAGTACTCTCTTTCCATTTTTCTGTTTAATACAGTATTACAGATTGCATTTATGAATAACAGAAAAAACTAAAATAAATTGAATATTTAAGAATTTAAAGAAATTATGATTTTAAATAATAATTAATGTCGAAATAAATGAATTTTAAAATTTGTGATGAGAGACACGAACTTTCGATATGTCATTTAAATCGTAAAGCTTAGTTTGAGTTTTTGATAAAATGGTCAAATTTCGTTGACTTAGCCATTTCGAGCATGTCGTTCAGCAGACGTTCACATGGTTAACAATCCGTTAGAAGTCTTCGTTAAATCAAAACAACGTCGTTTTTAAGCTTTCAAACGACGTACGTTTCATTAGAAAAAAACAAAAATATTGGGTCCACAAGAAATCAAACTGCTTTTCTGTTTTGACTCATAAGAGACTCTCAACCGTTTAGCTACGATAACATTTTGGTATTAGAACAAACAGAACGTATATATATACTAAAAATAATAATATACAATTAATTAAAAATATATGCAACTAATTGAAAATAATAATACTAAAAACATCAATAACCAAACATATACAAATATTAAATATATTTACATAAATATATATTTCAAATTTTCAAATATTTAATTTTATATATAAAGATTTCTTATATATTTAGATAATTATTGTTTCCTAAATTAAAAAAAAAAAGCAAACTGAAACTTATGAAATATGGAAAATTAAATATATGATCTAAAATCTATACAATCCTTCTCATATAATATATGATTGATTTATACATGTACATAAATTTTAGTTAATTTAATTTTATAAATAATTTTGTTTATAAAAAATTCATATATTTGTATTTTATATTATAGTATATATTAAATAACTGTATAACATAATTATTCCATCTTGAAATCGATGTGATATTCATATGAAAATATATAAAAAGAATCATTTTTATAAAATTATAAGAGAACGTGATAATTGTAGTGAATGACACATAATTAATCATATATTAATATGAGAAGGATTTGTATAAATTTTAGATCATATATCTAATTGTTGTCAAGTGTCTTTTTGTATTCTATCTCTTTCTGCTTTAATAATGTTCCTTTGTAAGTAATTCATGATTTTTTGTCGATGTAATCCATGTCTTTTGGCTTTTAATGAGAGAATCCAAACCTTATCTATTAATTATGTAAATATAATGTTTGTTTGGAGTCCGGCGATTTCAACCACTTAATTTTTTATAAATAAAGACTCATACTTCCATTGTTGTATCAATACTACAAATCTCATCATACTAAAACTAATATCAATGGATCCATCAAAATTTCATTTTGATATCGAAGCTTACAAAAGGCAGTCTCAAATTGAAGAGAAGTATATTGTGAACCGGTTTAGAAAGCGTCGAGACAATATAGAAGAAAACTATGCACCTCATAGCAAGAAAAAATACTTCAAAAGAGATCATGTAGCTTTGGAAGTGGTCAACAAAGAATGGAATGAATACAAACAATTCAAGGAGCAAGAGCTTGAAAGATTGGACAAAATAACCATGACACAAGAGGAGACAAACCTATTAATGAAAGAAAGGACTCAAGCTAAGAAAATGAAGATGTTTATGAAGCTAAGTGGAGAAGAGCATTTCGATGATCAGAGCAAAGAATTGTTGGAAAAGTTGAACGAAGATATATTTAAAAATTAATTAGCGTCAAATGTTTGTTTGTATTCAATCTTTTTTAATAATGTGTGTTTGTCACGTTATGCTTTAATAATATTTCCAGGACTTTTAACTTTTTAACGGGAAAATTCAATCGTTATCTAATAACTAGATCCATTATTGGCCGTAAAAATTATTCTTCGGTCCATTCCAATTTTATTTTGTGAAAAATAACATACAGTGAGAACTAACCATGACTTGCTTGAGAAAAAAAAAAAAAAAAAAAACCATGACTTACTTGCTTACGTGGATAATGGACCGAATAATAATTGTTACGGCCCAATAACGGGTGGACCGACGAATAATTGTTATGTGGATAAAAAAGAGAGAGAGACCCAAAGAGAATTAAATTTAGGCATTTAGCCGTTTGTTAAATAAAAGCTTCTTTCTTCAGCCGACTTTCACCAAAAAATCGTTTATCTTCTTTCTTTTCTCTTTTCCCGTTGAACGTTTTCCTTCGTCCTTCAATTTATAATCCTAATCTCGCTCTCTTTCTCTCTCGTCCGAATCAAATCCGGTTGTGCAATTTTGTCGTGGAACCCTAATTATTTCGAATCGTGGATAAAAACCCTAAGTTTCTGTATCGGGTGGTGGCGGTTTTGTTTCTTTGTTCGTGATGGCGGAGTTAGTGCAACGGAACGGACGGTGGATTTCTCCGCTCGTGTTGGTCGTGGTTTGTCTTTCTCTGTATTTCAAAGTGAAGCTTTCTTTGATTGGAATCAGATATGGTGCAAGATTAGGGTATTAGTTTTGAACAAATTTCCCGTAGGATGATTTACAGACTCTCACTGTCCCTAGAAGTACCCTTGATCTGATGCCATGTTTAAATTCGCTTCAAGATAAGAAGATTAGTGATTATTGGGTTATAGAGATTGATTTTTAGTGTTGACGAGAACAAAGAGAGTTTCTGAGTTTTCCTGTTTTGCAATTAAGATTTCCCTGTTTCAGTGTTTTCCTACTTACGTTGAGATCTCCCTGTTTTGCAAATTAAGAACCGGTGGTGAAAAATTGTTGTATGATTATGCTAGTTATCATTTTATTGAATTTTAACATCTACTCTATTTGATTGAATGTTATGTGATGTTGGATTTCAGGCTTTATGTACGGTCAGATAACAAAGACATGCTCTTAATGCTGGATTGTGTCTTCCGTGGAAACCGTGATGTCAATGATCGAGTAAAGACTGTGGTAAGTGTCTATACCAAGTAGTAAATGTAGTATTTTCGTTTCATTTTTGTTGTCTCACAGCTGGAGCATGAGAGGAAGAATTTGCAACTTAGTGACACATGAGGCACTTGAAGGAGTTGTTCAATGAACACAGGGCAATACCGTAAGTCTTTACTATCCCTAGAAGTACCGTAAATGTAATATTTGCGTTTCATCTGATATTAATACAGTTTTGTTGTGTCACAGCTAGAGCATGAGAGAAAGAAGTTACAACTCAGTGACACATGAGGCACTTGAAAGAGTTTTTCAATGAACACAGGGCAATACCGTAAGTCTCTACTATCCCTAGAAGTAGATCTGATGTCATGTTTGAATTCGCTCCATGACAAAAGAGAGATATTTGGGTTTCATAGATTGATTTTTAGTGTTGACGAGAACATAGAGAGTATCAATGTTTTCCTTTGTATATCAAATCTGAATCCTCTTAATCTGAACAAAAACAATACATGTTGAGGGATGAATTTAACTTTTGTTTGTAGATCGGTTAATTTTACAAATTTACTAATTGTTTTGGATTTACTTTTGTTATAGGAAGATTCTTATTTCCTCAGATATGTGCTTTTGAAGGTGTTCAAGGAGATTTCAAGTGTAGCAAACTTCTTTAACAGGTATATGTTTTCAAACCTTTTTGTTTATGTGTTTATTTTCTTTTCAAACTTGTTTGTAATTTGTTGATACAATTAAGAAAATCACAAGTGAGAGACACATACGTGAAGTATAGACTAATTTTGATTTGCTCAGGTTTGTGCCTCAAAAGGTGTTAATTTTTCCGTGATGCCAAGGAGATTTCTTTTTTTTTTTTCTTTTTCTTCCAACCAAGGAGATTTCTAAGAGTATCAGAATTTATTACCAGGTATATAAGCTTTTTGCGATTTTCCAGTGATAAAATTATTTTATTACATGTGAAAATTTACATATTAGAATTAAAGAAATTGGAAATGCAGGTCTAAGCACCATTCATAATTTAAAATGTTTTTTTTATATTAGCTGCCTCAATAGCATTACTGTCCTTGATCTATCTTTCAAATTTTATGAACTTATTTGCTAACATATCATTGATAAAAAAATGTAGATTTTGCTTTGGGTATTGGAACATTATATTGTGTTTTAAAATTTTGATTCTCTTTGTTTTCAATGCTTGTGTATCATAAGGTCTCTCATTCTATAAAATGGATGCATCTTAGAGTTTCTTATAGATATTTATTTGACATATGTGCTATTTCTGCATATTTTGATTGTAATTTCCTTTAATCTTGAAAGTATTTGTTTTGCGTTATGCTCTAAACCTTTCATGACTTTTATAAACATGTGAATGAAATCCTAGAATTCTGCATCATATAAGGAGAAAAGGTAGATTTTACTTTGGCTATATGAGTTTAAAACACTTATTATCTCTGTTTTTGTGTTTGTATGTATAATAAGTTTGTCATGTTATGAAATAGATGCATTTTGGAGTATCTTGTAGATACTTATTTCGAATGTATGTGATACTCTTGCAGATTATGGTAGTAGTATTCTTGAATCTCGAATGTATTGATTTTGATTTGGTATTGGAACATAACGTTGTGTGTTTTAATATTTTTAACCTCTCTGTTTTCAATGCTTGTGTATCATAAAGTCTTTCATTCTATAAAATGGATGCATTTGAGAGTCTCTTGTAGATATTTATTTGACATATGTGCGATTTCTGCAGATTTTGATTGTAATTTCCTTGAATCTTGAAAGTATGTGTTTTGCGTTATGCTCTAAACCTTTCGTGATTGTTATAAACATGTGAATGAAATCCTAGAATTCTGCATCATATACGGAGAAAAGGTAGATTTTACTTTGGCTATAGGGACATTACATTGTGAGTTTAAAACACTTATTATCTCTCTTTTGGTGTTTGTATGTATAATAAGTCTGTCATGTTATGAAATAGATGCATCTTGGAGTATCTTGTAGATACTTATTTTGAATGTATGTGATACTCCTACAGATTGTGGTAGTAGTATTCTTGAATTTCGAATGTATTGATTTTGCTTTGGTATTGGAACATTACATTGTGTGTTTTAATATTTTTAACCTCTCTGTTTTCAATGCTTGTGTATCATAAAGTCTTTCATTCTATAAAATGGATGCATCTTAGAGTCTCTTGTAGATATTTATTTTGACATGTGCGACTTCTGCAGATTATGATTGTAGTTTCCTTGAATCTTGAGAGTATTTGTTTTATGTTATGCTCTAAGCCTTTCGTGATTATTCTAAATATGTGAATGAAATCCTAGAATGCGGCATCATACACCAAGAAAAGGTAGATTTTACTTTGGTTATAGGGACATTACATTGTGTGTTTAAAACACTTATTATCTCTGTTTTGGTGTTTGTTTTGTATATAAAGTCTCTCATTTCATGAAGTAGATGCATCTTGGAGTATCTTGTAGAATGTATGTGATGCTCCTGCAGATTATGGTAGTAGTATTCTTGAATCTCGAATGTATTGATTTTGTGTTAGTATTGGTCATATTGGTCACAATGATACCAAAAGGCAAGTATTGTGTGCATATTGGTCACGATGGTTGATAGTCTGATTGTGTTTTGATCATTATTGTTTACCATTGTGACTTTTGCATCTTGCGTCTTGGAATAGTTAGTGTGGTAAATTGATCAAAGTTTATAGGGAATGCTCGTATGTTTATCTCAAATTATACCCCATAGTCTAAACCACAATATTAGATTTTTCACTTTATAATACACTTATTAATTAAGATTCTTTCCATACTACAAAAAGGAGACAAATAAATCACTAAATTAATTTGGTTAATGATTTGCCAACTAAAGAAACACACAATTACACCACGATTTAACAAATCATATATTCCCGATTCCACAAACAATAGAAAGTCTGAGAAAAGTGTACCACGCATCTTTTTATTAAATGTCAAATCGAATTCATTCTCAATTCATTGCACTCGTACGGGGTTTGGTATATTGACGCTAAATATCACATTGTAATAGACTTGATGGTGACTGAGAACAGAACATAACATAAAAATCAAAAGAAAAGAAAAAAAAACTTCTAGAGATAAATGAGTTAAATTTATATTAACACGTGTTGGGTAATCTATCTATCTAGTACCATAAAAGATTAGTCACTCAAGAGTCAAGACTCCTTACGCCACCACCACCCAAAGCAAAAACAATGGAGCACATGAAGGTAAGAGGGAACGGCATAGACATCCACGTGGCAATCCAAGGTCCCTCCGATGGTCCTATAGTCCTCCTCCTCCATGGCTTCCCTGAGCTTTGGTACTCATGGCGCCACCAGATCCCTGGACTCGCCGCTCGTGGATACCGTGCCGTGGCTCCTGACCTACGTGGTTACGGTGACTCCGACGCTCCGGCGGAGATCTCTTCCTACACATGCTTCAACATCGTAGGTGACTTAGTCGCCGTCATATCCGCCTTAACCGCCTCAGAGGATGAGAAGGTGTTTGTGGTTGGACATGACTGGGGAGCTCTCATCGCTTGGTACCTTTGTCTTTTCCGACCAGATAAAGTCAAAGCTTTGGTCAACCTTAGTGTTCCGTTCTCTTCCCGTCCAACGGATCCATCCACTAAGCCCGTTGATCGCATGCGTGCTTTCTACGGCGATGATTACTATGTCTGCAGGTTTCAGGTTTGTTCTTTTTACTCTTCTAGCTAATTACTTGAAGTTGAAGGAATCTTTAGTTATTAGGTTAGATGGGGAGTGTAGGAAGTTGGAGATATAGAAGCTGAGATTGCAGAGGTTGGAACAGAGAGAGTGATGAAGAGGATACTCACTTATAGAACTCCTGGACCGATTATTATACCGAAAGACAAAAGCTTTTGGGGATCGAAAGACGAAAGTATACCTCTACCTTCTTGGGTAACGGAGGAAGATGTTACTTACTTCGTCAGCAAGTTTGAAGAGAAAGGCTTCTCTGGTCCAGTCAATTACTACCGTAACTTTAACCGGTAAGTTTGAATAAGACAAATATTGTCCCTATTGTTTAGGAAGAATTGTTGAATGGGTCTTGTAATGGCAGGAACAATGAGCTGTTGGGTCCATGGGTGGGGAGCAAAATCCAGGTGCCTACAAAGTTTGTGATAGGGGAGCTTGACTTGGTCTACTATATGCCTGGTGTCAAAGAATATATACATGGTCCCAAGTTTAAGGAAGATGTGCCTTTGCTTGAAGAGCCTGTGGTCATGGAAGGAGTGGCTCACTTCATTAACCAAGAAAAGCCTCAAGAGATTCTCCAAATTATCCTTGATTTCATCTCCAAATTCTAATCTTGTTTTCTCTTAAATCATTCTTGTAAGTTGCATAATAAGTTGAATTATGAGGATACATCCTCATGTATTTCGTTATATCATCCTATGTAATATATGTATTAATACTAAAGTTGGATGCGTGCATATCATGTGACATTCTTCTAAGTTATAATAAGGTAAATAGCACATTGTAAGAGACTTGATGGTGACTGATAAGAGAACAGAACATAAAAGGCAAAAGATATCTGGAGTCCTTTAGGGAGGCTTCATGATATTCTGGGAGTTCGAGGTACCATTGATATGGGCGTGGCTATTCACGCCTCTTTTGCGGAAGTGTTGGAATCACATAGGAGACGGCGTCACCGAGTGAACACACTTAACCAAATAGAGGATCAGCTGGAAAATATTCGTTTGACTAGAACAGGATAGGCTGACCGCTTCCTTTGGCGTTTCAAAGATGATAGATTCAAGAATAAATTCTTATTGAAGCACACTTGGCAGCAGATACGAGAGCATAACTCGAGGTGTGAATGGTATAAAGGAGTGTGGTTGCCGTTTTCAACTCCAAGGTACTCATTCATAACCTGGCTAACGTTCCATGATCGTGTAGCTACATGTGACAAGCTCAGGTCATCGAATATGGGTGCGGTTGCGTTTTCTGTGGAGAAAGCTTGGAAACAAGGAGTCATCTGTTTTTCTTCTGCCCATACTCTTCACAAGTTTGGTCGTCCCACATGAGAGGTATCCTTCCCGATCGTTACACTACAAACTGATATTCACTCACGCCACACCTTATTAACACGTCTCAGCAGAAACTTCAACTTTGAACTATAAGGTATGTGTTCCAACTAACGATCCATACATTATGGAGAGAACGCAATGGAAGACGACATGGTGAAGGTCCTATTCCATGTGCCAAGCTCATCCGACTTATCGATAAGAATATCTGCAATGGTTTCAGCACCATTCGTTCAATGGGTAATCGTTAGTTGGAACACATACCTTATAGCCACTAGACTACATTCGTCATTGTAAGTCTTCGCTATTGGTTTAGTATGATGAAAGTCTTCGCTATTGGTTTAGCACCCGTAGCCACTAGACTACATTCGTCATTGTAATTCTCTGTTTTAGATCATTCTCATTTTGAAAATTAGACACTCAAATCTGCATTTATTGTAAAAACATTTATTTTGGTGAATAAATTTTAGGTTCATTAAAAAAAAGCAAAAAATAAGAGATAAATAAAAAAAAATCTTCTAGAAATAAATGAGTTAAATATTAACACGTGTTGGGTAATCTTTTTTTTTTTGGTCGGACGTGTTGGGTAATCTATTTAGTATAAAAGATTAGTCACTCAAGATTACTTACGCCAGCACCACACAAAGTAAAAACAATGGAGCACATGAAGGTAAGAGGGAACGGCATAGATATCCACGTAGCAATCCAAGGTCCCTCCGATGGTCCTAAAGTCCTTCTCCTCCATGGCTTTCCTGAGCTTTGGTACTCATGGCGCCACCAGATCCCCGGACTCGCTGCTCGTGGCTACCGCGCTGTTGCTCCTGAGTCCTGACCTACGTGGTTACGGTGATTCCGATGCTCCCGCTGAGATCTCTTCCTACACATGCTTCAACATCGTAGGTGACTTAGTCGCCGTCATATCCGCCTTGACCGAGGATAAGGAGAAGGTGTTTGTGGTTGGACATGACTGGGGTGCTCTCATCGCTTGGTACCTTTGTCTCTTCCGACCAGATAAGGTTAAAGCTTTGATCAACCTTAGTGTCCCGTTCTTGCGTCCAACCGATCCATCCACGAAGCCCGTTGAACGCCTGCGTGCTTTCTACGGCGATGATTACTATGTCTGCAGGTTTCAGGTTTGTTCTTTATACTCTTGTAGGCTTGTAGCTAATTACTTGAAGGAAAAGTTATTTATAAGGTTAGATGCTGGAGGGTAGGAAGTTGGAGTTATAGAAGCTGAGATTGCAGAGGTTGGAACAGAGAGAGTCATGAAGAGACTACTCACTTATAGAACTCCTGGACCGGTTATTATACCGAAGGACAAAAGTTTTTGGGGATCCAAAGGCGAAACTATACCTCTACCTTCTTGGCTAACTGAGGAAGATGTTGCTTACTTCGTCAGCAAGTTTGAAGAGAAAGGCTTCTCTGGTCCAGTCAATTACTACCGTAACTTTAATCGGTAAGTTTGAACAAGAATAATGTTGTCTCTATTGTTTAGGAAGAAATGTTGAATGGGTCTTGTAATGGCAGGAACAATGAGTTGTTGGGTCCATGGGTGCGATGCAAAATCCAGGTTCCTACAAAGTTTGTGATAGGTGAGCTTGATTTGGTCTACGCTATGCCTGGTGTCAAAGAATATATACATGGTCCCAAGTTTAAGGAAGATGTGCCTTTTCTTGAAGAGCCTGTGGTCATGGAAGGAGTGGCTCACTTCATTAACCAAGAGAAGCCTCAAGAGATTCTCCAAATTATCCTTGATTTCATCTCCAAATTCTAATCTTGATTTCCCTTAAAACGCTCTTGTAAGCTCTATAATAAGTTGAATTATGAGGATACATCCTCATGTATGGTTATAACCTCCTATATAATATATGTATTAATAATACTAAAGTTGGATGCGTGCATATCATCTGACATTCTTCTAAGTTATATAATAAGGAAAAATATATATATATAATAAGGCAATGACTCATATGTTTGATTAGTAGCTGTTGATAAAGCTATTGTGCTATACGACCACAAGCTATAGGATGCTCATCTCAACAGCTCAGAGATTCTTCAGACCACCATGTTTACACAACAGTAAAGTTTTAAACCATTTTGTTTACTTTTCTTTTTTCTACTGTAGAATGCAAAATGTAACATTAACAAAATAAAAAATGGACTTGAGAGCATTTATTCTCTCAACTTGGGTTTCTCAATCTAAGTGTGAACACGAATTACATTAATATTTAATGGAAACGTATTTCAATTAGACCAATTATAACAAAAAAATGTACAAGAAGAAGAGTCTTTTAACGTTAATCTTTCTTTAACTCGAATCGTTTCTCTCACTCTCTCGTCTTTTTTTCTACTTTTTTCTTTATTTTAGTAGTGAGATATACTCTACTAGATACCATAGTTTGTCCAAAAAAAAAGACTTTACTAGATACCATCGATACTGATGCTCTCAGATGTTGTAAGATAGAGCACAAATAAACTGTTGGAGAAAAGTCTTATCAAACGTCGGTGTATGAAGGAATACTTGTAGCTAGTTTTCTCGTTTATTTCCTTGTCTATTATCTTATTCTCTTCTCCTCCTTCTCGCTAGCCTCTTTATTCTTCTTTTTGACGGTCATAGATTTTGTAAGTGTAACGGCTGTGCCGGTCCGGCATTTAAGAATACCCTATACAAAGCTTAAAAACATGCCCTTTTCATATAACACAAAAAAAAAAAAGTTATTTTTAAAAAAACCATTAAACGTAGAATGCCTTTCGGATTTAGGCACTTCTCATTATCCCCTTCGGATTTAGGTACTATAACCTTTTGAGATTACTCTTTTGCCCTTCTCCACACTACCTCATTCTCGCCTTCTGGTCTCTCCTCCGTTTAGAAACGAAAAATTCGAAATCGAGGGTTTACTGTAACCAAAACCTCACTTTTTCAGCTGGACCGCAGCTTCGCATATTTCCAACATAAGAGGTCTACGTTGTGTGCGTTGTCTGTCCGTTGTGATAGTTAGCACCCGGAGTAAGAGGGCTGAGGAAGCTGCTGCATTTTTCGCTTCCCAATCGGCCGTCGTATTCCGAAAAACAAAAAAAGCTAAAGCTGTCCATAACTCGGTGGCAGTAGAATCTCGGTGTCGGATTACAATTCCAGGTTAAATCCGAAATTTTTGGTTTTCAATTTGCAATCTGTTGTATTTCTGCTTTACGGTTGATGTGATTATCAAGTTCTCAAGATTTTGAAATGCTAAAATCTAAAACTCCATTTTTCTTGCAGATTCATCAAATAGCGAAACCACTGGTACTATTGGTGAAGGTAATGTGCTCGTTTTTGCCCTCTTCATGGGTTAATGTAAAAAAACTTTAATTCTTTTTGCTTTACAGTTTCTAGGATTTTAAATTTGACAAGCTTTTGAATTTTTGTATTTAATAATCCATTTTCTTGAAATTTCATCTAACACAGAATGCTCTGACAATAGTTATCGTCGTACTTTCCTAGTATTTGCCTCTGTTTTTGTTTCGTAATGAAAACATTTATCCTGTTATTTTTTGATATCTTCCGTTCTTTGATGACTGTGCTGTAAAACAAGGGATGTCATACTTTTGATTATAGGGACCACTCCTGTTGATGTGTCTTATTCCCAAGCTGAATTTGAAAGTACGTTAAAACGACTCCTCTTTTAACTTTTTTCCATTATCAGCTTACATTTCTTTTTTCAGTTTATATCTTTCATCTATGATGTATGTGCAGTACTGAAATGCTGTTTTTAGATCATGTATTTATAAGTCCTTACTTTTTTCTCTAAACGCTCTTTTCCACGTACGCCCACCTCCACGTCAGTGTCTAACATTGACAAAACTATTACATCTTCAAGTCATAGTTTTTCAAGAAAGGATGTACCCGATTCTGCAGATGGGGAAACTAGTGTTGCTGGGGTTTTATCCTCTTCCCAAGGTCTGTACGTTGGATTTAGTGCTGCTTATGCTGCTTTTTCAAAATTTACATATGTACCAAAATCTGTCTTCCTTTCCTACACCTTATAGATGCGGATAAATTTGGAAAACCTGATGAGCAAGTGTTGCCGAAGCGTTTCTTTTCTACTGATCGCTACCCAACCCGAGGGAGAGTCAACTCATACTCAAAGCCCCATTATCTTGTTGATATATTATCAGTTCTTGATGGGACGCAAGAACTTGTAACCCTAAAGAGCTCGCCTTTCAGCTCCTTATTTGAACTCCCGGTTCGGCGTTGCTCATTGTCTGGTAAACTTGTACACAACTTTCTGTGTAGGAAAATTGTTACAAAGGATTCTGACGAATTGTGGTTCACGTTTGGAGGCTATCCGCTAAGATTTTCTTTGTCTGAGTTCGAACAAATACCTGGTTTACCTTGTGGTCCTTACCCTTCACCAGCAAAACTTGCTGCTGTGTAAACACCTCCGGAAGATGCAAAGCATTACTGGTATACCCTTCTTGGGAGTGAAGAGGAATATACAATTGAGCATATTGTGAATATGCTCAAAGCTAAACCGGCGATGCCAGGATGGAAAAAAATTCGTCTATCGCTTATAGTTATTGTTGAAGGTGTTTTAATATGTGGGACTCAGCCTATCCATGCTTCATTACCTACTGTAGAAATGGTTAGAAACCTAGATACTTTCTTCTCTTATCCTTGGGGTCGTCATGCTTTTGACCATACGCTTCGTATGTTTAAAGTTGGGGAGAAAGTGAGGAACCACAACATCCTGATCAACAAGCTGAAACAAAAGACCTTGGTTATCCATGGATTTCCAATAGCTATACAATTGATGCTGTTCCAGTCAATACCCCTCCTCCTTCGTTATTTGCCATCATCTGATGATGCCCAGACATTTTATGATATGAGTTTGTCTGTCTTACCGACGTTGAAGACCTATCACACAAATAACATCTTACTGGTCAAAAACGATAAAGATGTGAGTATTTCTTAGGCTTCTATAGGTTTTGCTTTTCTCACCCAATTGTAACCTTGTTTTGTACTTTACTTGCAGCTGATTGTTTCTCAATCTGTGGTTTCCACTAAAGAGGATTGTGTCTCTGTTGGTGGTCCAAAAGTTTCCCATATGCTGAGTTTAATTCGAAGAGGTTATAGGTTTTCTAAGGGAGACTGGCGGGTTGGTGATGCGTCCCTAGGAAAGTTGTGCTCCTGTGATAAAAAAAAAAATTGTCGCTGCAACTGTGGACCTGATTCTTCTCCTCCAAATACATGTACACCAGCTCGTGTGCCAGGACATTTACCTGCAAATGCTGATTCCAAAGCTATTGCTAAACTAACAGCAAAAGTTGCACATCTTAAAAACACGTATGCAGAGTTATATGTAAAGCTGAAAGCAGATGTTGTTGTTGAGCTTAAATCTTTTTTGGAGGCACGTACACGTGGAAGTTGCATTTTGTTGGTGTCCCAGCGTCGAGGGCGGAATCGGTGTCTGCTGCTGTTGTAGATACCCTTAAACATGTTAGCAGTAGTAAACCATTGGAAGAAGAAGAAAATGTTGCTTTGCCTTCTGAAGTTAAAACTGGAAAACCCAAAGCCTTCTCTTCTGATACAGGCCATGTATATGGGTGCGTGGAAAATTGTTCTAAGGTATATAATTCCACGCTTGCCGTGCACATGGTTTTATGTTACATACATTTGCTTCTTCTTAACCGTCCATTATTCCTTTCTTTTACCTAATTGAAATTTGCTATAGGATGTCACTGTCAACCCTGAGCGTAGGCTGCAAAGTGTAGATCCCTCTTTCCAGCCGTCAGTGCGTGAAGATGATGTTCTTTCAAACCTGCAGGTATATGTTCACTTAAATTTCATGAATGTTGAGAGTAGTAGTGAGGTTATACTTTGTCCTCCTTCTATTCCAAATTATGGTAGACTAATTGGTTGCAAACATTTTTTTTTCTGTTGCATTTAACCTACTGTTACATTGTGTTTGTTTTTCACATTGTGTCCCATAACTATGTTTTTTCCCCACTCTCTAGCTGGCTCTTCCGTTTCTCCCGTCTACTTTAGAAATGCATCCTGCTTCTGTTACCTCTCTTGGTGCTGCGTCCTCACTTCGTCATTGTCATAACCATACTTTTCAATCCCTGGTATTATACTTTTTACGTCATATTATTGTTAATGTCTACGTACTTTTTTTTAGGTCATATAACATTTTCATTTCACTGTAGTCGTCCCGTTTCGTTACTTAAGATGTGTCGCCATCAAGTCAAGCTTACCCCTGTTCTGCTTCACAGGTTATTGGCCTATTTGTTTCTCTTTTGTTTTCATTATTACAATAATTATTTGTTTAATTTCTTAACTATAACCTTATTGTATGCATATAGGTTGAAGACAGTATAGAAACTTTGTCAAGCAAGTGCTGCGGTCTAGATGAATGTAATGATCCACGACTCGCCCACCATGTCTCTTTACCTTCAGATCCTGCTTCTGCTAAGGTGTGATTACAATTGTTTTTGGATATATTCTTCACATGGTACTTCTTTTTGCCTAAATTCTGTTTACGGTACATGGCCTTAACCTTTTGGTAGTTACCCTGTTTAGGAAATATTGGGTACTGACCTCATTTCTGAAGTACCCAACCAGCTTGTTACTGCCCATGCCACTGGTGGACTATGTCCTGGACATCCAGAGGTTATTACATCTTATTTACTCTTTCTGAATTATATTACTTTCGACTTCGCTGCGTTCTACGTATCTTATTTTAAATGGGACTACTCACTGTATTGTTTTCTAAGTTGTACATAGTTATGTCTTCGTCTGCCAGAGTGTAGTACCTATAAACTACGTTTTAATTGAGTATTCGCCTGTACCGCTGGGTGAATTGCCTCCACAGCTTGCTCAAAAATATTTAAAGCCTATGAAGGGTAGAACTAAGAGAGGAATGATTGCAAGTACCCGCTGTAACGTGAACAAATCCCCAAAGCGTCAGAAACAAGGGC